CTCCGGTTTTCCATACTAAGCAGCATTATCTTAGAGACCATCACGTGTGGTCCCTCGCCCTGGGCTTGGCTGAACTGATCGCTTTGCCACGGTGGACTCTTCTCTGGGATTGTCTCTTGTAGCACTGACAAGTGGCCTAGCCATTTGTGATACCACAGCTTCCACAATGTGGCATCTTCCAGTTCAGAGCAGGGGCTCTGAGTTCAGGCTCTGGAATTAGACATTTCTTCCCCATTCTCCTCCTCATGCCTCCCAATATTCTTTTTGAGACAATTTTGAAATGCAGGTTCAATTTTATAGAATTGTTTGGTTTTTCTAGTGGCAGTTTTTCAGTAGTGTTTTTCTAGGAATTTGTATTTTTTACTTACCTTGTGATTTTATTGGCATAAAGTTGTTTGCCAGGTCTTTTTAAGATCTTTTTTAGCATTTGTAGGATCTCTACTTTTTTTTTTTAATTTAAAACATAATTTTTTTAAAACTTAAAATCTTGATACATACATATCTGTGCATGTTAATATATACAAATTAACATATGCAACTTGATGAGTCTGGAGTAGCTGTATATCCACTTTCGTGTGTGTGTGTATGTGTGGGGGTGGGTGGGGGGTACTGGGGTTTGAATCTAGGGCCTTGTGCATGCTGGGCAAGTGCTCTATCACTGAGCCCTATCCCCAGACCTTTGAGTAGCTATATATCCATCACCTCCAAAAATTTACTCTTGCAGGAACTATTTACAAAAAGGCAAACTTGTATCCTTTGGCTACTACTTTCTCAGCCTCACTTCCCCAGGCCCTTGGAAGGTCCTATTCTACTCTAGATCCTGTGAGTTTGACTCTTTCAGTTTCCCCATAGAAATGGTATTATGGAGAATTTTAGATATCCCTTATATATGTAGTATTCTGGAATGGTAACCCTTTATCAGATAGAGTTCGCAAACATTTTCTTCCATTCTGCAGTTTTCCTCCTCTTTATTTTATATAATGTGTGTGAAGAACTTTTCACATAAGATCTATCCTCTTTGCAATTTTGCAGTACAGTATTGCTAACTGCAGGTGCTATGCCATATGGTAGGTCTCTAGGACTTTTTCATCTTGCATACCTGAAATCTGAACCCTTTATTGCGGTTTGGATGAGTGGTGTCTCCCTAAAGCTCCTGTGTCAGGGATGTCCAGAGGTGAAATGATTAGATCATGAGACATCTGTCTATCGTTCCATCCTAGTTTTAGTGGACTAGCTGGTTGGCAACTGCAGGCAGGTAGAGTGTGGCTGGAGGAGGTGGGTCACTGAGGATTTGCCCTTGGGAATTAGATCTTGTCCCCTGGATCTCCCTTCTCCCTTTGCTTGCTGACCTCCATTACCTGAGATGCTTTCTTCTGCTGTGATGTTGGGCCTCACCTGAGGCCGAGAGCAATGGAGTCAGCCAACCATGGACTGAGCCGAAGAAACTCTGAGCCAAAATAAACCTTTCCCCCTCTAAGTTCTTCCTGTTTGGTGTTTTAGTCACAGTGATGAAAAGCTGAGCAACATATGCTTTGACTCCTACTTTCTTGTTCTCTCCTGCCTACCCCCAGCCCTTGGAAACCACCACTCTTGCCTCTGGGTTGGACTGTTCCATATGTTCATAGAAGTGGTGTCATGCAGTTTTGTCCTTCTGTGCCTCTTATTTCACTTGACATAGCCACCTCCATGTGACCATCCACGTTGCCACAAGTGGCAGGATTTCCTTCTTTTCTGAGGCAGGGGAATATTCCGTGGTATGTGTGTAGCACATCACATCTTTTTCCTTCCATCCATCCGTGGACATCAGATTACTTCCATGTCCTTACTACTGTGGCTGATTCTGCAATGAACGTGGGCACAGATATCCCATCAAGATGAGATTTATTCCCTCAGATACATACACAGAAGGGGATCGCTGGCCCACATGGCAGCGCTAGTGTCAATTTTGCAAGGAACCTCACACTCTTTCCCATGGTGGTTGCATCAGTTTACATTTCCACCACAGAATATAAATTTCAAAGGTTCCCTTTGCTCTACATCCTCACCAACACTTGTTTTCATTTGTGGTCTTAATTTTTTTAAATATTTATTTATTGCAGTGCCAGGGGTTCAGTCCAGGGCCTTGTTCATGGTAGGCAAGTGCTGTGCCCTCTGAGAAGCATGCGTGGGTGTTATTGTTTGTTTTAAAATAATAACCACATGAAGTGATGTCGCTTCATGATTCTGCTTGGTGTTTCCTTGATGGCTAGTGATGCCGAGTATGCTTTTCTATACTTGTTGGCTGTGTATGTCTTCTTTGGAGAAGGGCACCTCTCAAGTTTCTTTACATATTTTTAAAATTGGGATTTTTTTTTTCTGCTATTGCATTTTAGTGTTTGGATATTAACTCTTTATCAGGCACATGCCTGCAGGTTGGCTTTTCATTGTGTTGGCTGTTTCCTTTCACATTCAGGGGCCTTTGATGTAACCCCACTTGTCTCTTTTATTTTTATTTTTATAAAATGTCAGAGGAATACATTACAATTCTTATTACGCATATACAGCACAATTTTACATTTCTCTGGTTGTATATAAAGTATATTGACACCAATTCGTGTCTTCGTGCATGTACTTTGGATAATGGTGTCCATCACATTCCACCATCCTTGCTAGCCCCCTGCCCCCTCCCTCCCACCCCTCTGCCCTGCCTGTGTTTGGTGTCACCTGGTGATGTCCTTGTACTTTCCCTGATGTTGGTCATCTGTGTGCTGACTCTCTCACTCTCCTTTTTGCTCTGTCTTCGTAGTCCTTTATCAATTTTAGTATTTCTTTCCCAAAGAACTAACAGTCAATTTTTTTCTCTGTATTTTATATTTAAGTTTTTATTTTCTTCCTTCTGCTTGTTTTAGGTTTAATGTGCTACATTTTTCTTTTCTTGGTACTGGGAATCACACTCGGGGCCTCATGCATGCTAGGCAAGCATTCCACCTCTGAACTGCACCCCAGCCCTCTTCTTGAATTCATGTAACTAAGCCACATTTCTTTTGGCTCATATTACATGATGTGTCTTTCCTTTCTTTTACCTTTGAGCTTTTTATCCTTCTGTTTAAAGCTATAAAACAGACATCCTTTTTTAAGGACCATATTTTATGTGTGTTTTATGCAGTTTGACTATATTTGTCCTTTAGTTTCGGTCTTTAATCCATTTATATTTAATGCGATTACAGATATATTTGGGTTTAAATACACAAACTTATTGTTTTCTATTTGACTTGTTTATTTTCTTCTTTCTTGACTTCTTATTATTGTACTTTTCTTCTTTATTAGCTAATTAAATGGGTAGGTATTCAATCTAAATATTTGACTTGTTAAAATATAAGGTAAATTAATACTATATTACTTCCTGTATAAGACAAGGGTCTTAGGATACTTTAACCCATGAATATTATGTATTATAATGTGATACAAATGTGTTTTTTTTCTGTTTGTGGCTCAAGATACTTTTTTAATTTACTGCTGTATGTCTGTCACTAGTTTTGGGAAATTATTAGTGTATTTTCAAATATTATTCATATCTTAAGCTATTCCTCCTCTTTTAGACTCAAATTAGATGTATGTAAGGGCATAAGACAGCATATTTCAGTACTTACTTTGTTCCTTGATGTATTAATCATCTTTTAATTTTATTTTTAAGCTTCCTTTTGGGTATTTTCTTTTGACCTATTTTCTAGTACTCAAATCTTCTCTTAACTGTGTCTTCTATTTAACCAGTGCTTTGAATTCTTTATTATGCTGTAGTATTTGAATTTCATAATATCTATTTGATTATTTTTTATTGCTTTCAGTTCCCTGACAAAATCTTTTTTCCATCTTTTCATTCCTTGAATATATTAATTATGATTTTAGTCACCGTTTCTCATGATGTCACTGTATAGACCTCCTGTGTATTTGTTTCTGTTTTTTTCTCATCTTGCTTTTGTTGAAGGCTTGTGTCTTTGTGTGCCTTCTTGTTTTTGCTGGCATGGAAGAGATTTTACATGAAACTCTGCTGTGGTTGCAGTGATAATGTGTGTCTCAGGCTGATGGCATCTTCCTCTAGAGAATGCAGCATCTTCTCTTGCTTTGGCAGTTGGGGACAGATCACTTTCATCCAATCAAAACTGAAATGGCAGGAGGCTGATCTGTTCAGGCTGGCTTGTCTTTGGTTCTAATATGAGGGCAGTCACCTGCTGGGCTCCTAACTAAAGAGTGGTGCGTTTATTAGAGACCCTTTCTTGGTGGCCCTTGGGCTTGAACTTGTGGCTTTCTTAAGACTGCCAGAAGCTCAGCCCATTTCCTTAGGCTCTCCACCTCAACTTTTGGGATCTGGAATAGTGCTTGAGGGGAGAAACCCAGCTCGATGCCAGCCTTTCAGCTTTTCTCAGTCTTGTCAGTATTCTCTGTGTTTAAAACAGGTGGGCGCGCGCGGCGCGTGCGTGTGTGTGTACGTACGTACGTACACATGCACATGCAGATGGGTACGTGAATACTGTCTAATTTTCCTAGTTGGAAGTAGGAGAGGATCTAGGAAACCTTGACTATCATTGTTGGAAGCAGAGGTGCTGGAAACCTCCATTGTCTCAGAGACCTGGTCCTGGTCATGGTCCATGGTTCAAGGGCAGGCTGTGCCTTGAACTCTTCTATGGCTCCTCCTTCATCTTGGAAATTGCCTTGTCCCTTGGGTAAGTTTTCTTTGCCTCATCCTGTTGACATTTCGGACCAGGTGATTAGTTATGGTGGGTGCTGACTGGCATATGGTCAGCTGTTTTGTTTTTCTCTGGCCTCTATTCACTAGGTTCCTGCAGCACCACCCCCAAGTTTGCCCACAAAGATGTCTCCAGATGCTGAACCTGTCCCCTGGGGGACAGAATTGCCTCTTGCTGAGAATCACTAGGTTATGCAGATGGAGTTGGGCATAAGCACAGTGTGGCCTGGTAGGTTGCTGTCGCGTTTTCTAATGTTGACTTTTCTTTCAACTGCAGGGTTTGAAACTGCCAAGTCTTTTGCCCTCCACGGTGCCCACGTGATCCTGGCCTGCAGGAATATGGCGAGAGCCAGCGAGGCCGTGTCACGCATCTTGGAAGAGTGGGTAAGTGCCTGACTGTTTTCTTGTGTGATTGCCAGATGTGCATGCCGGGCTGAACACACGGAGGCTCTAGTGCGGAGTGTAAGGGTTATTGCTCTTGGAATAATGTCTTCATTTCTAGAGTGGTCTTCACATTGTTTACTTTATGAATGAAAGCACGAGCAAGCTGTTACTGTGCACGCATTGTTTATAGCCATTGTCAGAGTCTTCTGCTTTGTTGGTCAGTGGGTTGAGGATGTTTACTCACTTAACTCATTTGTTAAGGAAAATAGAATGTCGTCAATGCCCGTGGATGCGAGTAGGAGGTTGTTTATCACGTGTTTTAGGATTAGAAAGGAGTTGGCTTTCACCCAGTCCCTGGATTTTTTGCTTTGCTCCCTTTAGAGCATAGATGTCGATGTGGAGCTGTTGATGGGGGAACATTTACTGAGACCTTGAAATAATCTTGGGACTTAGGATATGGCATCAAACAAAACAAATCCCTGGCCTCGTGGGCTTACCCTCTAGGTAGGAGTAATATAACCAAGTTTGAAGTTTACCATTCTCTCAGGTTGGTGTAAGTATGGTGAAGGACAGGAAAGCAGCAAGGGACGGATGGCTGCTGACAGCCTTGTTGTGAAGTCCGGAGTGAGCCCTGAGAGTGTCAGGGAGAGGCTTTCTTAGCAGTAACAGTGTGTGCAAAGGCACAGAGGTAGCCCATGCCTGGAGAATTCATGGCTTCCCAGGGAAGCTTGTGTGTCTTTGCTGAATGCAAGGGGCCAAGCAGAGAGGGGCAGTGGTGGTGGGACAGGGTCTTGCAGCAGCATCTGGGAGGAGGACCTTGGAGGGCTTGAGCTCTGGCTGTCTATAGGGACGAGTGCTAATTGATTTTTTTTTTTTTTTAAAGCATGATCACTGGGCTCCTGTTTGATCATCCACTTGCCTTCCCCGTGTGTGTGTGTGTGTGTGTGTGTGTGTGTGTGTGTGTACCGCTATGATAGCTGCTGGGTCTAAGTGCAAGCAAACATTTCAACCTACTAAGGAAGAAAGATGACCCTGACCAAAGAATGACAAGTGTGTGTGTGCACGTCAAATAGTAGTGAGTGGCAGTGGCCAGTTCCAGGAGTTGGGAGAAGTCGAGTGCCGTGCAGGAGAAGAGTGAGTGGGCTGAGATTCAGGAGAGCCCAGGGAGAGGACCGGGAAGGTCGGCCGGGTAGGGGAAGGACTGTACAGAGGCCCTGGGTGGAGCAGCTGGAGATGGCCCAGCGGGGCGAGGAGCAGAGTGAAGGCTGCTGGGCGATCCTTGCCAAGGCTGGCTTAGCTTTCTGAACACTGTCAAAGGTGTCTTGCCAGCTGGAGAATTAGGCTGTGGTTCGCTTAAGAAGATGTCTGGTGTTCTGGACAGAGAAGTCATGAAAGTGAAGAAAAGGCAGATTTGTTCTGTGTTTTCGGTGCATTTCCCATGAAATGTCTCAAATGCAGTTGTTTATAATGAATTCTTGATTTGAGCTCACTAGATTTGTTATTTTGGGACCAATTCATTATGATTATTGTTGAGTGTTTCTGTTAAAAGGATTTTTAGAGATGTTTATAGAAGAGAACGAGTGGCAGCGTGCATGTGTGATCTGAATCTTCCCGCAGAAGGTGAAGGTAAAAAAAAAAAAAAAGGAAAAGTTTTTCCTGGTCCTTCTCTTGGAATGGGAAGCATCATTAGCCATTTTGTATATATTTTTCCAGAAAGAGATCGTGTATTCTGTGTGTGCTCCTTCATTGTGCAGGTAATGCTTTCTTATCAGCGCCCATGAGTCGGCTTCATTATTTCCCGCTGCGGCTTGCCGCTCTGCCGTGTGCTCATGCTCCACGGTGTTGAGCCCATCTCCCTTTCTGTGGTTGTGCATGCAGCAGTGAGGCTTTACCCTTCCAGGGGATGCTGTTTTACAGTCTAGTCTGTCTTGTCTGCATCCTCTTTTCCTGCACTTTCATCTGAAAATGGGTCTTCAAGATGCTGAGCCCACCCGCTGGGCAGAATCTGACCAGTGGATTCCCGAGTCCCTCGACGAATGCAGTTAGCAGTTTCCCAGTTGACGAATGCAGTTAGCAGTTTCCAGTTGTTGCTCCAACTTCAGTTCCTGCTGTTGGTGCAGGATACTGCCTGTTGTCCAGCACTGGGTAGTGTCGAACTTGTCAAACTTTCCCCCACTGAATGTTACATTTTAAACCTGTGGTCGTAGAGATACTGTAGCAATGTGTTGTTTAGTGATATTCATGTTGAAACTGGTCTTGGGAGGTGATGCTAAAACAGTTGTTTTTGAATCACTGAATTTATCCTCTTCTTAGAACACAATATTTATGAGAACAGATTGATCTGCATTTATCACATCATTATTGTTCGATGCACAAAGGTAGAAATTCCCGCATCCACCCTCACCAAGTGCAAGACCTTGGCCAAGGCGCTTTCTCTCGGGTGCCTCAGTTTCCTCACCTTAATAAAGGAGGTTGAGTGGGATGACCTCAGAGAGCCACCGTTATATCTCTTTATGCATTTTAGGCCAAAACTGGGTTTCTTGGAGGCAGTTTCAGATGATAGAATTTATTGTGGTGTGCTTTCACTCTGCTGTGTAGTGCCCTGAAAGACTAGCAGCCCAAGGAAGATAATTATTCCAAATACTCATTGTCGGGGACATGAGGAAGGAAACGGGAACAACACCCCACTAATGCATGCTGTTTCAACACTAGAGTCGCCATTACAGGTTTCAGGCCTGAGATGCTCAGTCCCGTCCTCCCCTTGTTCTCTGCCTACACTATTGTGCGCGCTCCTCCCTGCCCTGTACTGTGCCGGCACAGACTCAGGTTTTTCACCCAACCATCGTTCTGGTCCATTGCTGCATTGCACCGCAGGACAGAGTGGGTGTGTGCACCGGATGCTGTGCACGGTCCCATGCCAGCCCCACTCCCACCCTGGAGATTCCTTGTCTGGTTTCCTGCGGGCTCTACCTTGTAGTTCTTCTCTGGCCCACTGTTAAAGCCTCCTCCTGTGTTTCTCAAGGTCAATTTGCTCCACTCCAGCTTCTCAAGCCTTGAGCCAGCTTCCGTGTGTCCTGCTTCATTTGGGATGGATCATATCGGTGTCAGGCGGGGAAGGTAGTGAAACATTGGTGCCTCACAGGAGATTCTCAGAACGAGCCAGAGTGTCTTGTTGTAGTAAAACTCAGAAGTTCCTGGTTGTTGGGCTCTACCCTGACTCACGTGCCAAGGCTCCCCGGCCATCTTCAGCTCCAGTCCTGGAGAGAGAGCTCATTTCTCCATCCTCAGCTGTTCCTCCCTGGCTGGGCTTGCTCGTTCAGCTTCCCCTGTACATTCCAGGATCACCATGTTCTACAAGGCTTCTGCCAGCAGAATGCTTTGTTCACACCCTGATGGGGCAGCTCACAACCCCACTGAATTCCCGTCCTGGGCTGTGCCCTGGGCCAGGCCCTTGAGTTGCTTATTTGGGAGGGATGCACATGCCTGTCATCTCCTTTTATAGTGTTGGAGAGAGGTGACTCACCAGAGCGCGTAGCTTGTGCACTCAGGGCTCTTCATCTAGCTTTATGCAGACTGCAAGTCTGTCTGCTCTACCCCATGGCCCGGCTTTTCTACCCTGTTACTGTTCAGATTCTGCTTTCAAAGTCGGTCAGTGCTATTTGAGTGATTCAAATCAGGACTGGTCATCTCTCTTAGCAGAAGCAACTCTGAGGCACTCTGGTGTCCTTTACATTCAAGATACCCTTTCAGAGCTCTCAAGCCTCTTTTTTTGGAGATTGAGCTACTTTGTAAAGTGGAGCTTGTGTGAAAACACTTTCCATGTAGAAATGAGAACCTATATGATAGGCATGGAGGCAAGGCGCTTGAGTTGGGACCAGGCTTGGCAATATGTAGTGAGACCCGGTCTCAAAAATAAAAGGGCTGGGGACACCCCTGGGTTCCATTCTTGGTATCAAAAAAAAACAAAAACAAAAACAAAAACAAAAGTCCTGTTCAATGTTCAATTATTAGTGCTAATAATTGCTTTTTTCATAGGCATGTGCCTTTCTGTTAGATGTGTTGGATGCTCCAAGGTTAGAAGTACGAGAGGACGTGAAAAGGCAGTAGGATCCCGTGGACAGCAGGAGAAAACCACCCTCCTAAGAGGCCAACCCATTCCATGTAGAGGAAAAAAAAGGGGAAGCCTGTCAGCCCCCACTCACGTTTACACGAAGTTCCTGTGGGTGTGGGCTCACGCCTGTGTTGCAGCTCAGGGACTGACAGATATGCCCCCCACCATCTGCTACCCGGACTGCAGGCTGGTGTCTGTACCTTTAAGATGAGTGCTTCCTCTTTTTTAGGGCTCACCAGGAGCCAGTTGTGACTGAGCAGGAAGCTCATCTTTTCCTGCTTCCCTGGGGTGGGTGCAGGATTCCCTGGCAGGTGTGTTTGAGTCCTGCGGTGCCATGGCTTCTGCTGTCCCTTGGTATCTATTGGAACCTTGGTATCTATTGGAATGGGGTTTTGTTGCCCTGTCATGGACGTATGGCATGTCCCACTCATTGTCCTGAGATCTGAGGACATCTAAGGGGTGTTGCACATGAAGAATAATAGCTGATTAGGCATCAGAGTTTACTTGATAATCAAAAGCAAGCTCTCGAAAGGCCAAAGTGGGATCCTATTAGTTTCCCATTTTGCTTTCTAAATTCTAGATCCTTGAGGTGCGGGGGGGGGGGGGGGGAACTTGTGATGTAAAACTTATGGTCCTGTAGAGGAGAAGGTTGGGAGGAGCTGGAGCAGATGGGCCTGAGGTTCCCACTGACCTTCTAGTCATTTTCAGGAAGAAAAGTGGGTGGGGCTGTGGCTGGGCAGATCCAGACTGGGGGAGGGTGGTTAGAAGTGGCCAGCCGGCCTCACCTGTGGCCGTTGGTACCCTGCCAAGGGTGGAACAGGACGTGCGAGAGAGCTCACAGTGGGGCCTGACCTCCAGTGAGGTGTGGGCGCCCTGAGTCTTGCATCCA